TTCAGAGTATACCTGATTGGCGTTACGTTCAAGGTAGTTACTGATTGTAACGCCCTTCGCACCACACTCACTAAGAGAGATTTGATCCCAAGGATAGCTCGTTGGTGGCTGTTGGTCCAGGAGTACACATTTACAATCGAGTACCGACCGGGTTCCCAATTAACTCACGCAGATGCGTTAAGTCGCAACCCTATCGCAGGAGACGGTAGTACAATTGAAGATGTTTCTAATAATATGATTATGCGAGTAGAAGAAATACACTGGCTCCAAGCTGTTCAAATGAGCGACCCAAGGCTTTGTCACATAAAAGCCGTTCTTGACACGAAAAGTCAGGAAGCCAAAGACATCAAAGAAAACTATGTGCTTAAAGAAGGAAAGATATATAGAAAAATTGAAGGCGATTTAAAATGGGCTGTCCCTAGAGAAGCTAGATGGAAGATCTGTCAGCAATGTCATGACGACTCTGGACATTTTTCTTTCATTAAAACTCTTGAAAAGATTAGACGTGATTACTGGTTTCCACGGATGACACAATTCGTAAAAAAATATGTAAGAGCGTGCATTCCATGTGCCCATGCAAAACGACCAGGAGGGAAAGGGCAAGGCTATTTGCATCCTATACCTAAGCCGACTGTCCCTTTTCAGTGCTTACATATAGATCATTTAGGCCCTTTCATTAAAAGTAAGAGAGGTAATACTTACATTCTTGGCATTATTGACGCTTTTTCAAAATTCATTATTCTGCGTGTTGTTAAAAATACTAAAAGTAAAACGTCTATCGCGGTTCTTAGGGACATATTTGGATTATTCGGCACCCCAAAACAATTGATATCAGATCGGGGAACAAGTTTTACATCAAAAGAATTTGAAGATTATATAAATTTTGTAGGAACTAAGCACACGTTGAACGCTGTCGCCACACCACGCGCTAATGGGCAAATCGAACGCTACAATCGAAGTATTTTAGAGTCCCTTATAGCACTCTGTCATGGCGATGATGATAAAGACTGGGATTTACAGGTCACTAACGTACAATGGAGCCTTAATAATACCGTAAACCGGAGCACCGGCAAGACTCCTACTGAAATTATTTTTGGTAAAAATACTGTAAATACAGTCGAGGGTCATCTTCACGAAATCGATCAAGCGATAAGTATTCCAGACGAGACTTTAACACGGATTCGAAACGAAGCTAGTGCGACGATAATGGCACAACAACAAGAAATGAAACAGCGCTATGATAAAAAAAGATGTAAAGCTAAAACATATAAAGTCGGTGATTTGGTTATGGCACTGAAAAGCTCCAGAACTCCCGGTGAAAGTAATAAATTAACACCAGCTTATAGCGGCCCTTTCAAAGTGACTGCGGCTCTTGATCATGATCGTTATGAGATCAGCAGTGTTGAAGGCTACTCTAAAAAGAAATATAAAAATATTTTCTCTATAGATAAACTTAAACCGTGGGTGCGGTTTAGAGAATCGGAATCCGAAAGTGATTATTGTGATAGCGAATGATAAGTAATACAGTGTGTAGATTATATTTGATTCTAATCATTAAACAAAATATGATTTGATCAATGATGCCAATATGGTGAAAATGATTATATTAATGTGACTCAAAATTAGAGAAGTTAAACACAATTATATTACATAGTGAGATTATATATATATTACACCTATCCTGTTTACCATACCCTCCCCTCACCTTTCCTTATACACTTCCTTAGCTTATAGTGAACTCCCCTTGATGATGATTATGATGAAGGTCCGGAAACACCGAAGTATGAAAAAGCACTAACAAAGGTTGCCGCAGAATGAACGTGATTTCTGGAGTGAGATTGTAGCACACAGAGTGCAAGCAATGCCCAGGCAGTTTTCTATCTGGAGTGAGGTCGTAGCACATAGTGTGCAAGCGATGCCCAGACCGTCATTAGTCTGGAGTGAGGTCGTAGCATATAGTGTGCAAGCGATGCCCGGACCGTCATTATTCTGGAGTGAGGTCGTAGTACATAGTGTACAAGCGATGCCCAGGTCATTTCTCTGGTGTGAGGTCGTAGCACATAGTTTGCAAGCGATGCCCAGACAATCACTATCTTGGAACAAGGTCGTAGTACTCAATGTGCAAGCGGCATCCATTCATTCAGGAGTGAATTGATAATATTCAGTACCCAAAACATTTATTTTGAAATGAGGGTGAGCATTCGCCACATTGAAATGGCAATTGACGTTTTGCAGATCTGTGATTAATTAGTGAAGTTACTGCGATAGTAAAGATTATAGAAAGAGTGATTTTATTTGTTGATTTCTTGTAAGTTTTATTATTAAATAAAACTTTAGTTAGTCATTACAATATTCAGTGAATGTTATTATTATTTTGTTTTTCTCTTCCTAAATGTTTTATTCTTAAACGTTGAATGAGGACATTCAGAAACGCGTAGGATGGCCGAGAAATTACATTCAATTAGTATATTTGATCAATTTTACATTCAAAGTGCTATACTATAATTAAGAAATATATATAATTAAAAATAAAAACAAACTCATTATTGTACATGTTAATCTGAAAAGATACTATAACATCAATTTGAATGATCTTATCATATCCGGGACGGATATGGGTTCAGGATGGCCGACTGTTGAGAATTGTTAATTTTCAGATATATCTCGTGTGGTCATCGCAATTGTATTTTTCACATATTCAACGAATGAGACGTTGATTGCACATCACTTTAAGATCGTCTGTGGATCAAGTACAAAAGGCTGTCAAAAAAAGTACTCTGTGTGGAGGAAGCTCCTTGGAGGGAAAAAAAAGAAGAAAGATTTGATATGCATATTCTTTTCACATGTTTGCATTTTGGTTAGACCTGTTTGAGCAATAAACTTTGTTTAGAAAAAAAGTAATTATTCTTTTATATAATAATGCTTAATGCCATATTATGGTTAATAAAAAAAGTATACCAATGTCAAAACTCCTATTTAAGTATTGGGTAATATTAATATAAAGCTGTTATCGTATTTCGGTGATATGAAAAACATTATATATTATATAAGCATTAACGTAATATTATTTAGTGCACTTAGTTGTATTTAGTCATTTTCTAGAAACAAAGGTTTTCTAATGGCCTATGGTTGTACCGATTTAATGCTTATCTTGTATACACATTGAATAAAGAACTAGTAAAACTTTAGCACCGATTTGTTCTTAAAGTATTCTTTAATCAAGCTCAAGCTCCTTTATCTTCTTAATCTATGCTTTTATAAAACATTAGGCTATATTTTGATCAATATGAAGTTATTTATAGAGATACAAGTAATAAATAGATCGTAATTATATTTTATGTGAAATTAAAATGTAAAATTATTTTATGTATTGTATTGTAATGGTGGCATTTTATACGCATCGATGGCGCCATGGACAAAAACGTTGGGAAAAACAAAGAAAACAGGTGGATATAAAAGAAAACTGAAAAAAGAGTATACTAATTTAATTGAAACTTTAAAATCAAAATAAAAATAAAAATGAAATAATCGTTTGATGATTATAAGCACTATAAGATACTACTGAAGTGTTAAAATACGGCTGTACCTAAAATGGGAGTGTGTTATACGATGAATTACGAGCTCTTAGTTTTGTGTCTAACCACAATACGATTAACAGCTCTACTACACTATATTTGAATACCTAATGCTTTAATTTTACGAGTCGCCATTTGCTTTCTTTTTCCAATTCTTACAAAATATCGTATTTAAAGTCAACTGTGCAGATGAAAAGGGGTAAATAATCATTTATTTTGTGCACCGATGCCTATGAAAGCAATTATGTTGTTAAAACAATGCTAAAAAGCCTAAAATTCAACAAAAATTTTTGCTACTAGGTTAATTTTTCTATTATTTTTATTATATTAAAGGAAGTTTGCGAAGGCGCGTGTATTTTACATCATAAACTTGTATATTTTACTCCACAAACTGATGTTTGCAGCTTATTTCACACATAACGAGCTGTTTAAATCAATATTAAAAAATACTTAAAAGACCAGCCAAGAGAACATGTCATGACACTTACACAAAACAATAACTTAAACCGATTATATATTTTTAAAATCTATTAAATATACATTTTTTACAAAGGAAATAAAACAGTAAGCATTTTTATAATATTAAATTAACGTATTATAATTTTGATTTACGCATATCAATTGTAATATAGTCACAAAAAGTTCAATTAGCACTTTAAAGTGCTAATTGAAATTTTTGTGGCTATTAGAATGCTTTTACCCGACTTTATTAATGCTATTATACAAAAGTTGTAGTGCTATTGCACAGCTTTTATAAAGCTTAAAGTCGTACAAAGGGGGGGCCCAAATTTTACGTATAAGAGTCGTTTAAAAGAAATACGGTTGATATACGATTTTATTATAATGCTTAACGCTTGGGCTCATGCTATCATAAGTTTGATATAATGGTGTTTTGTGCTACTTGGGAACCGACATAAATCATATATATATACATATATATAATAAGTAACAACGGTGAAGTACTAAATTAATATTCTAAAGGTGTTTAGACACTGACTTTCGATAAAAGAAATGTAGTTGTTGGATATCATCGTCTTTGTCATTTTTTTTTTTTCAAATTACCTACCTACGTAGCTGTCTTAAACTATATGTACTAGCTAACTAGATGACTGTAAACCAGCGGCGGACTAACGACATCGGAGGGCCGGCGATAGGCCTGGATCGACAACTTTTTTCTACTTGGGCATCAACTTGATATTGCGTTTTTTATTTTTAAATTTTATTATGTTTTTGACGGATAGTGCAGCACCATTGCCATTTGGAAGCCCGCCAGGATCGGAGGTCCAGAGCGGACGCCTCCCACATCCGCCACTAGGTACTATAAACTTAAGTTTCAAATAATCGATATAATAAAAAGATAATATCAGTAAGTGTTAGAAATAAGCAAAAAATATACATATTTCAAAGTTTCTTATGAACACTTACATTATTAGGAGGCAATGAAGACAGTTGACTGTCGTCATCATCTGTCGACGTTGCTGCGGGTTCCATTTCGTCTGATATATCAGGTGTTGTTATAGAGTCTCCGAGTCCTGAATCTGATGTATTGGGTTGGTGAAGTTCTTGTGGGTTTGATGCATCTTAATAAAAATTAAGAAATGAATTTCTTTGGTTGATTACTATGCAATTTTCAATTAAAACAAAACGATCATAGAACATAGGGTGGGCAAAAATACAGAGCAATAAAAACAAATTTGTTAAATTTTAATAGACAGCTATTTAAATAAAACAAAATTTAACATCATATATCTAAATAATATGGCCATGCATAATACCTGATATTTTGTGATTAATATACTGTACTAAAATATGTAATATTATAAATATGAAACTTGCCATGTTCGTGTGTTTATTATCTAAATAAAAACTTTTCTCTAGGTATTTATCAAAAGATGGTTTAACTTTGTATTTATAGATCCTATAAAGATAATAAAAACCTTGATTTTCATGGGGATTTGGTTGTTCGGGAGCAGCTATATCAGGCTTCTTTTCTTCTGGTTCATTACTTAACAAAGTTGACAGCATTTCCTATAAAAATTATATTAAAATATTTATATATATATACAGCGTGTTTGGTAATACCTGTATAATCCCGAATATGGCACATACGGTATGATGAATAGAACCCAGAAAAATGATCACTAAGACTGAAACCCAGCACATGACCTAGATATTCAGCTTTTTTTCTTCGAAGTAAAACTGTACGCTGACAACCCTAAAAACAGCTGTTGTGTTGTATTTGGTCATCAACTCCATGTGCCGAACTAGTTTAAAAAATAACAGAAGTAATATAAATCTAAAGATAAATGCCTAGAATAAATATGCATCTGAGAGGAATATATTATTTCCAAACAAAGAAAAAGTTAGTAGTAAATGACTTTTAACTATAAAAAAACACTAATCTTGTGATTAACGGTGTTTCAAAAACTATTAATATGAAAACTTCTGTAATAATACAGTCAAAATAAAAAAGAAATTGCAAATACTTTGATTGAAGTTCAATATCTGCACCATTGCTCACATTAGTCTATGCAAGAAGGAGCGAGAGAGACATAAAATCGACGACGATGTGTATTGAGAAACTCGGGTTTCTGATGTGTCAGTAAGGTTCTGTAGATTATTTGCTTTGAAGTTTTGTTATTTTTTTCATAAAGCCGTGTTATTTTCACGAAACAATAAAATACGGACTTAAACAATGATATTAATAATCTAAGTATCTCTCTTATTCTTAGTTTAAATGATAATTAAATAAAGGTTAGTTGTAATGGAAAGGTCTAATAATAAATAATATTTCTTGACGCGGAACCCCAAAATCGGTACACTTTTGATTTAGGTACATTGGTGTTCGAGTTGCAATAATAATAACCTATGTAGTTTTGGTCATCGCGTCAGTCGCGTCCGTGACTTTCATCGGCGTACTTGTGAGTTTTCAGAATTTAGAAGGTCAACTTACGTTTTCGTTCTTTCGGGACTTTTGGTTTGTTTTTCATTCTCGTTCTGTTTACCTGTGTATTATGTTTGTGTGCGGTCAGTGCAATGAATTCGTACTCAAATGCCTAATATTACGAGATGATAATGTGTGGCGGTGCTTGTGACGGTAATCTTGCTGCGGCTCGGCGGCGTTATGACGAGCGCCACGTGTCAGGAAGACCTGAAAACCATCGACGTCTTCCTTCTTACCGGTGATTCGCGGCATTTGTGAATTGGTTACATACAACTGGTTCATTCCATAGTGTGCCACAGGTAGGCCGGCCGATCACCTATTCCATCGAGACAGAGGATATGACTTTACGTCGAGAGTAACACGACACGGTCTGTGCCGAGTCGAATTGAGATGTGTGTTTTATGCGGTGGCCGGCATATCGAGACCCTGGACTGATAAAGTGGAGGTGAAGTGTAGGTAATGTTGACAAGTGAAAGCTGAAAGAGTGATTAGAACGCTATAGGTATGTACCTATTTAATCTTAAATTGTTTTAATTACAAGTAAACTCATACGTAGTCGAGTGCGCGCGTCGGCAACATCAAAATGTATTCAAGGAAACGAGAGAGTGAGAGGTAATGAGAGAGAGAGAGAGAGAAAGAGCGAGTGCGCCGGGACGGCACGTGTAAGCTTACAGGGTTGTAGCATAGTAATTGAAAACAAATTGTTCAAATATTTGTATGAAAATATCAATTTACATGAAATTGTTTTTTGACCTATCAATTGTGTTCTTTGTGCTAGGTTGTATGGCCATGTTTCGGGATTATACAGGTATTACCAAACACGCTGTATATGTATTATAAAAAACTTAATTTAAATTGGTGAAAATTATACCAGAGCAATTTGACGATGTGATATCTTTGAAGTTGTTGATAATTTGAGCAACCATTTAACAGTACTGCGATAACTTTTGTGTGGCAATAAACTCATTAAGCCAACTACTAGTGAGACACGAGCAGATCGGACTTCAGCGCGTTCCTAGAATACAATATTATGTTAAACAAATAAATAATATTTAAAAGTCATAACTAATAATAACCACCAATTATTTTTTATACCTATATATATATACTAGCTTTCGCTTGTTTGCCCCGGGCTGCGAGCAGCCCGGGGAGGTCACGAGTAGCTAGTGGAATCGGGGCGGTGGGGTTTTAAGTCCGCCTATTGTTATGTCGGGTTTACAGTTTGAAATTGCCTAGAAAAGGTCAGTAAGTTCTATCTTCAAATAAAAGGTGTTAAAGGACACAAAGCACCATACATCAAAGAAAAAGTGTTGCCAGTTGACACTTAATAGAAAAGAAATATTCAGTCGAAAAACGCAAGCAAAACTTAAAATAAATTTTGTATAGATACTTCAAATAAGTTTTGCCTTTTATTCTCTTATTCTTATTTATTAGTAAATTACTGTATAGTATTAAAAAACAATCGAACATATATTTCCATCAGTGTTACTATCATTAATTAATCAATTAAATGTCAAGAAATAGTATTTATTGTATTTGCATTATTACATTACATTATTTATGTAAGATTTATTTATTATATGAAAAGGGAACCGATATCGTGGCCAGATATTAGAATAGATCAATTCATGACGCGATTGGGTTTTAAGTTCGCCTTCGTTTCAGAATAGAAGCTTTCGCTTGGTTGCCCCGGGCTGCACGCAGCCCGGGGAGGTAACGAGTAGCTGGTGGAATCGGGGCGGTGGGGTTTCAAGTCCGCCTCCGTTGCAGAATTAGAGTCTTTCGATTTTTTTGTTATGTTTGTTTTATAGTTTGAAATCGCCTACAAAAAGTTAGTAAGTTCTGTCTTACAAAAAGGTGTTTAAGCACCATACATCAAAGAAAAAGGGTTGCCAGTTTACGCTTAACAGAAAAAGAAATATTTAGTCAAAAAACGCAAGCAAAACTCCAAATAAATTATAGTCTCTCACTATAAAGATCCCGAATTGTCAAGTCCATCGAAATCAAAATTGAAATTAAAATAGTCACGATCATCTTTTAAACATTATAAACCAAATGTTACCATCAACAAAAGCGATTCGTTTCTGGCACTTCGCCGGCCGCTGCACGCTCACTACGCTCGCTCGGCTCGTGCGTTGTTTTTCATACACTAACCTAACCTAACCCATATGTCCTAATAAACCTATACAAGTTTTTGTTGCTTTACTTATTGTAAAGTTCTTGAGCATAAACGAGTCGCTTGTGGAATCGGAGCGGTGGGATTTTAGGTCCGCCTCTTGTTATGTTTACAGTTTGAAATTGCCTAGAAAAAGTTAGTGAGTTCTATCTTCAAATGAATTATGTTTAAGTATACAAAGCTCCATACGTCAAAGAAAAAGGGTTGCTGATTTACACTAAATAGAAAAAGAAACATTAAGTTGAAAAACCCAAGCAAAACTAAAATAAAATTTGGAATAGATCGGCTTGTAGTCATTTATTCTCTAATTCTTATTCAAAAGTAAGTTAATATTTAGTTAATACAAATATTGGAGTTTTAAGACCGCCTCTTGTTATGTTGGGTTTACAGTATAAAATTACCTAGAAAAAGTTAGTAAGTTCTATCTTGAAATAAAAGATCTTTAAGTACGCAAAACATCATCTATAAAACAAAGGTTGCCAGTTTACACGCAATATAAAAAGAAATATTCAGTTGAAAAACGTAAGAAAAACTTAAAATAAATGTTGTATAAATCACCTTGTATTCTTTTATTCTTATTCAATAGAAAATTTCCTAAAAATCACAGTAACAAAAAACAACAGTTTTTTATCATCCGGCAACACTTCAACTGAATACATTTTTTTCTGTAAGTAATCTGAAAAATGTTATCAATAACCCCAAATTAGCTCTATGAAGTAAAAACTGTGAAAAATAATACATTTTCTAGATAAAATAGTCGCTGTCTTAGCCACCATCTTGAATTTTAAAATTTCCGCCTCAGTCTTAAATAGCACACTTATAAGCACATTTGGTCACAGTTCCTTAACCAATTGACCAGGTCTCCATTTATTATGGCTCGCTTCGCTCGCTTTTTCTTTTTGTTTTTTCGCAATTCTAATCTAACCGATTGACCAGGTCTCTATTTATGGTGTCCTTTATGGCTCGCTTCGCTCGCATTTTATTTTAGTCACAGTTCTAACCCTACCAATTAACCAAATCTCTCTTAACAGTTACTCCTTATGGCTCGGTTCGCTCGCTTTTTGTTTTATTGACAGTTCTAATCTAACTGATTGACCAGGCCTCTATTGAAGGTGTTCTTTATGGCTCGCTTCACTCGCATTTTATTTTAGTCACAGTTCTAACCTTACCAATTAACCAAATCTCCCTTAACGGTTACTCTTTATGGCTCGCTTTTTGTTTTATTCATAGTTCTAATTCAACTGACTGATCGGGTCTCTCTTGATGGTCTCACATTATGGCTCGCTTTGCTCGGTCTTTATTTTAGTCACAGTTCCTTAACCAATTGACCAGGTCTCCATTTATTATGGCTCGCTTCGCTCGCTTTTTGTTTTATTGACAGTTCTAATCTAACTGATTGACCAGGTCTCTGTTGATGGTGTTCTTTATGGCTCGCTTCGCTCGCATTTTATTTTAGTCACAGTTCTAACCTTACCAATTAACCAAATCTTTTTAATGGTTACTCTTTATGGCTCGCTTCGCTCGCTTTTTGTTTTATTCATAGTTCTAATTTAACTGACTGATCGGGTCTCTCTTAATGGTCTCACATTATGGCTCGCTTCGCTCGCTCTTTATATTGGTCACAGCTCCTTAACCGACTGACCAGGTCTTCATTTATTATGGCTCGCTTCGCTCGCTTTTTATTTTATTCACAGTCCTAATCTAACTGATTGACAAGGTCTCTATTAATGGTGTCCTTAATGGCTCGCTACGCTCGCATTGAAAAGTATATGGTGACTATTATCTGTGTTGCTAGTCGATCACTGAAATTATTCCATCAATTATGTTATAAATGAAAAAGTAAAAGTTTATATAATACATAAAAGTTCCTCAAAACTCCCGGTATCAAAAAAAAATAGTTTTTTTTCATCTGGCAACACTTCAGCTGAATACATATTTTTGTTAAAAGTATTCTTAAAAATTTTACCAAAAACGCCAAAATCAGCTCTATAAAGTGAAAGTTATGAAAAATTATCAATTTTCTAGATAAAATGGCGGCTGTTTAGGCCGCCATCTTGAATTTTGAAATTTCAACCTCAGTCCTATGTAGCCCATCTATTGGCGCATCCAACGCAGTTTCTATTATTTTCCTAGCGGCGATAATGACTGCGCTAGAGTCCAAAACGTGAATAGTGGGCATTGAACTTTCAAACCGCCGTAGCTGCCGGGGTTGCCAGATGTAGGCGATGAAAACAGTCAAATGTGATTTCGGGATGCGCCCTTCATCGTCGGATACCAATTTTCAAGTTCTAAAATTGTTCCTTTGTCATTTACAGTTTTTGGGGTAAATCTCAAATACTACCCTAAAATCGGGTAATTTTTTTCCACCATATGAAAGAGTCTATAGAGATACACAATCGCTCCATACATGCCAAATACCTGCGGGGTTGCCAAGTCGGTCAAAATCAAGGTTGAATTTCAAACGTCGTTTGCTCTCAGTGTTGCCAGTCGATCGTTCTATTTTTTCCATCGGGTATCTTGAAAAGTTAAAATTAAAATATTTTCATCAAAAAAGTTAAAAAATTCGACAAAAATTGTTTCCTCAAAAATCGCATAAAGTATCAAAAATTTTCGAGTTTTTTTTTCACCTGGCAACACTTTAGTTACTTGCCTAAAAAATGTTTCCCCGGAAGTACTCTGACAAATGTCGCCAAGTGCGTCAAAATCGGCTCGACGTGGTGACGATACCCAATTTTTTGGATAAAATGGCCGCTGGTTTGGCCGCCATCTTGAATTTTGAAAATCCGGCTCCGTACTGGTGTGGCCAACTCGATAACGCATCCGATGCAGTTTTTACCATTTTCTTAGTGGTAATACCGACTGCGCTAGAGTCGACAAAGTAAAAAATGGGCAAAATTTTTCAAATCGCCGCTCCTACCAGGGTTGCCAGGTGACGGCGATGAAAATGGCCAAATGTCATTTTGGGGAGTGCCCTCCGTCGAGGAAATTCATTTTTGAAATTCCCAAACGGTTCCTTCTACTTTTCACCTTTTTGGGGTAAATCTCCGAAATTACCCTAAAATCGGGGAAAATTTTCACCTCATACAAAAGAGCCGATGGAGACTAACGACCGGTCCTTACCAAGCGAAGAGCTACAATGTTGCCATGTAGGCTAAAAGTGCGTTTGAATTTTTCGAAAAAGTGAAAAAATCACAAAATGGCCGCTGCCGGCGCCGCCATATTGATTTTGCCGAGTTTCATAATTTTCCCATAGTCACGACTATATTTGGCGCGGCACCTCATTCACAGATTTTCTCCGCTGGCCACCCAGGTTCCCAAACAATTCGGGTTATGAGGGCATGTCGAAAAACACGTTTTCTACCGTGGAGCCCAGGGTTGTCAGCTCGCGGGAACGAAAACTACCAAAAGTCATAGGGCTCCCCCGGCGCCACACCGCATCGAGTCTGTTTTCCGCGAAAAGTGCGTATTTCGAAATTTTACTTTTCTTCCAAAATCTCCTAAACTACCACGAAAATGGTAGAAATTAGTACTAATATGGAAAGATCCTACCGAGCCCCACGACCGCCCCATATAAAGAAAACCAGTACATTGCCGCCATCTTGGAGAAAATCTCACTGGAAAAGTGCGATTTTTCACTGCCGAAACAAAATGGCCGTCCCCGTCGCCGCCATATTGACTCGCAAGCGAAAACTCCCCGTACGTGAAAATCGACTATACTTCCGAGCTGAAGGAGCAAAAATCCCCTCCCCGAACCCACAAAAAAAGAAATGACGACCGCCCGAACAGAGGTCGAAAAATGTCAATTTTCGAGTTAAAATATCTCGGCCGCCATTTTGTTTTTTTAATCAAACCTTTTTTCAGTGTCATTTTTTTAGCCAAATCTATGACCATTTTGAATATCGTAATCATAGAGTGTATAATGTAGAAATTAAAAAAATTATCTCGCCGCCATTTTGTTTTTTGGCTGAACCGATATGCCATTTCAACTCATTTTAAAAAAATATTATCAGTCTCCATACATGAAAATGTCATTTTCCCCCTCTTTCTACCCGAAAAAAGCATGGAGTGAGTCAGTGAGTCAGTCAGTCAGTGGTAATTAAGCTTTATATTATAGATATGTATTCATAGTTATGTTTAAGGTAGATCAAGCTATATCACACTTACCAGACCATCTAAAGTATAACAAAGATGTTGCAGAAGAATACTGTATCCAGACAATGCTGCTTTGCTATATTTGCTCAAGAGCAATCCTGAATATGTAACATATGAAGCTCTGACAAGATTCTAAAAAATAAAAATCATTCATATTATGCTATATTTCATCTTTTGTTTATACAAACAATTATTTCAACACTAAAACTTCAATAACTTGAAACCTTTTATAAACAGTTTCAGAGTAAGCAAGGGATTTCAAAAGAAAACTGACATTAGCATTTCTACAGTCAACAGACGCAGATACTAGTTTTGGGAGAATGCATTTGAAGAGAAGTTTAATTGCTTCTTTGTTTGGCTCGCCTTTTGCATCACAAATCAGTATATCTATTATTTCATATATGACTCTTGATATATTCCCAAGCTCTATTTTATCTGAAAAAATAATGACCAATTTAAATATGATACCTGTTAACAAATTATTATTATATCTTTTTGACATATGTATTTGCAAAATAGACATAAAGACAAACAATGACAACTACAATTTTATCATTGCTTGAATATTGCTTGAATAGCTCGTTATCATATATTTATGACTATTATAAATATTAATTAAAGCTCAAGTTCTAATAGTATATAATGCCAATGTTACTAACTTTTATAGTATTAATATCTTATTATTATTCAGATAATATCTTGTCTTATTTTGTACCTCTTTTTATTAAATAAATTGGCAGCAAGAATAAACTTTAGTATTTCTACAAAGCACACAACAGTTGATCAATACCTGTACCTATTTTAAAGAGGAATAATTTCATTATTATTTGTTTGTAATGGATTCACAATGGGGCCAAACTTAAAAATATTGTCACCAATATGAAACTAACTTGTCATGGAGCAACATAAAATAATTTTTATTTTTCAGATAGATAACACAAAGTTTGCATGTCATGATAAAATAAATCAAAATAGTTAAAAAAAATGTGTCAAATCACTGTTATACATATTCAGTAACATAGCATTCCTTGCATCACTAGTTTTAAGTTATAGTTTTATATACCTAACTTATAACAAGGCACATAAAACTAAGAGAATGTATAATTTACATACCTACATTTTGTGTTCCTGTGTGGATGCATAAACAAAAACAAAGTATTAGGTACCGAATAGGGATTTCTACTCTGCTTGAAATAATACATGTAACAATTTATTTTATTTATAAAAGCCTTATAACAAATATTTCGGAAATATAAACATGTTTTCTTGCCTTGAAATTAAATCAAAGTTTAAACTTTTTTACACCCGCGAACATGTCATATTCATGACGTCATTGTGATATGTACACAAAACAGATGCATAGGGTAAAGATTAAAAGATGTCAATAAAACAAGAACAATGCCATCTACTGATCGATTTTGAAATATAAAGATATAATTAAGCTAAGAACAGCGCCATCTAGAAAATTGATTTGTTATTATTAACCCTACAAGGCTCAATTTTTTTTTTGGTTGTGGAAAAAATATATATGATGTAATTAGCTGTTAGTAGTTAGGAAAAAATATATAAAAAAATAATAATCCAATATTTTACAAGAAAATAATTTTTTTCTTTCAGTTCCATATATGGTACACTGAGCCTTAACTATACTATTTCGTACTGAACTACAATAAACGTAGTTATTAGGAAACAGTATCTTATATTAATTATCACGAGCTTTTTTTATTTTATAATTATTGACATAATAAAGATGTACATTACAAAGTCTGAAACAAAATGAAATAAGAAACAATTATGTTTAAAAAAGCTACTTATGAAAGTTTCAGACACAATAATTATCTTTATTCAGGCAAAGTTCTGCGTGACAAATTCTCACAAGAAATGAAGTCTTCCTTTGCAACCAGGCTATTTATATCTTTGCCTTTTTCCACCCCAGACCCGGAAAAGCTCAAACCTTTCACGTCTGACGTCACGAGGAGGTAGGATTGCAGTATTGGGCTTCTTTCTTTTCTTCTCAATTTCTTCAGACGCAGAAGCCCAAACATACATAAACTTTTGCCTACCTCAAATTTGAACTTCTTTTGTTTTAGTGGAACTCGCATATTATTCTGTTCCCAACTCTTTCGTACAATAACCAGCTATTGATCAAAGAAATATCAAGAAGATGATATAATAGTCTCAACCACAAAAAATATCGAAGGGGTGTTTCAAAGTGTATAATTGGTGAATGTAAACTTGTGTCTTCAGTAAACGGAAAATGAGGTGAATGAAAATTTATTTTTCTCCAAAAGAATCTCCTTTTATTTCTTATAGCCACAGACGTAGAACCAAGTGTTTTAGTTGATGATCCCCTAAATGCCCGTAATTGTGTTATGGTACTTGTAGTTGTCCCTGATGTGCTAGGCTGCAGGTCTAATATTTCAGGCCTTCACAACATGAACGTCCTCGTTGGCAGGAGACAAAGATAGTCTTTGCGGCGGCAATGAAGTTGCCTTGTCGCTAAGTGATTTCGATATCAGCTTTTGGAATAACTGTAACTTCCAGCGTCAGAAAATCCTCCTCATGTTCACTCCCAGAAGGGATATTCAAGAAATCTTCAATTTCGTCACTACACAATCCTCTTCGCGACATAATCTATAAAGACAATAAAATAATAGTAATTATTTGGCGTAAGTACGAAATAGTAAAACGAGCACGAAAGCTCAATGTACCGTATCTGGCACATAGATAAAATGACGATTTCTAATACTATTACTACAGTAATATAAAAAAATAACTTACCTCTGCATAATATACACTCCCTTATTTCTCACTTATTTTTTTTGGACTCAGAACTATGCGATTACTATTTTTTAGAAATTGGTGAAATCACGAGAGTTGTTAACGTAAAACTTTTACTCAAATTTTTTGCCAAACTATCTAAACAGGAAGCAGTGGCAACATATATGCGCAATGCTTTGTATTATTTTGTTGCTAGATATCCAACGGTTGTGTTCGGATTGATAATAGATGTCGCTGCACGTTTTTCATCGCTGTAGGGACGATATAAATGGTTGTCCCACATATGGTACTGGGGGCCTTGTAGGGTTAAGCATATCTTTATGACTAATCTGACAGTTGTCGCTACAGTTATACCGCAGGTCGTGTTTTAAGTCACATGAAACAAAGACAAAAAATTATGACTGTTAATTTTAAAATAATAACATAATCATGCAATTTTAAGGCTCAAAATCAGAATCTGAATGTTTATTACTATATCAATTTTAGTTTTCTTTATATCAATTTTAGTTATAATTTTGATTCAACAATAACCATTAATTTCAGGTAAAAAATCATATTTACTCAGCCAACACTCAGTAAAGAACCCCAAGAGAATCCCAGTTACAACCAATCTCTCTCACTACGGGATGTTGGCAAAATTTCCGTGTATAACGGAACAAGTCCATATAGAAAAAAAAAAAAAACCAATACTGCATATGTTAGTGTGCATAATACAGAGAGATTTCACAGCTAGATCATCGCAATTTGACATGGATTCAAGATTACAGACAGCTGCTTCAGAAGCACCAACACAGTCAAAAATGAAAAATGTTAGCCAAAGGAGTGAATTAAGGGGATGGGTAAACTCAGCAGTGCAATTAAAAGCATCTTGTATAGCTTCGAATTTTAAGATAATTATTAAACTGAATCTGAGATTGACAATAATATGTATCACGATAATATAGTCACTTATTCAAAATAGCAGTTGCTGTAGGTCCACTTCTGTATTGATGCGTCAGCATGGAGCACCTTACTTCTTGCGTGAAATACTTTCCTATGTGTTATTCAATAAAAATCATTACTAATATAATTTCTATAATAGAAAGTATAATTTCTTTGTCATTTGAGTGATATATTCGCTAATATAAATAGGTTTAAGTTGACCATTAGATTTTAAGTTAATATGTCCAGTATGCATATAGTCTTTGTTGGTGTTGTTAAGGGTTTTCACAGAAGCTAATATATTATCTTTTAGAACCACCGTCGTAAAATCTATAATTATTGTCATATTTTATTATTTTAAAGTTTTGAATCTAAAAAATATCTCTTATTTGAGATTCATCAATGCAGGTGTTAACATGGTCACCTATTTTTTTTACCAACTTAAATAGATTGTTTTTTGTTTCTTTGCTATCAAGAGGTACCATTCTAATTTCAACACTAGCTTGCCTTTGAGTTTTTTCAAGTTGTTCAACCTTAATCTCTAGGCTCTGAACAAAAGCTAGCTGAATTTTCATGTCAGATTCCATTTTTGATAACTATTTTTATATCCTTGTATTGCTTTGATATAAACTCCTAGAATTTTTATATCATTATTTTGGTTTTATTTGTTGATTAGCCAGCAACTCAATACAGTTTTTGATTTCCGCCATACATGTAGTGAGTTCATCATCATGCTGACATTTGCATGGTCAATATTTACAAGAAATATCAGTGGCCGACTCCTGATTATTAAATGATCCCACAGGGGAGTTATATTGAGTGGCATTGTAAATGTTTACAATTTTTCATTTTTAGAAAAAAATAAACTGGGTCCAGATCCTTTAAATTTAAATCGCTTTTGCTTCTGTTTATAGCCTAGGGCAAACAACTAAAATGACGTATGGCAGTTACCCATCCACAATGTGGCTTGCAATGTTATAGCGTTCTCGACGCTTTGTCACTTTCTGTTGCGGTTAGTTTATCTAGTTGTTGTATGGAGTCTTGGTACATTTATTTTAATATGCAGAGAATGATTTTATAAATCACTCACTTTCTGTTGTATTTTGTTCACAACCGTTCTTTACTTGTTATAATCTCCTAGTATTGAAGCATCATTACAAATTTTCCTTGAACATTATTATAAATTAATTTACTTAATAATTTAAGCACACACATATTAACACTCTCGCATTCCGGGAGGAAGAGGAATAATAGAGTAGTTTATAAAGCCCTACAGCTAATATCCATACCATTCTTCTTTCAAAATGAATATTTTGTTTCACTCTCCATTTAGGTTGGGTAACAGAAATATGTTTACTAAACAATGTTTAAAGAAAATTTGCACTTATTAACAGCTTTACTGATAAACATATACATATAAAAATTAATAAAGTACCAAAATTCTTATAATGTTATTCATACTTAGCTTCTCATTATTTTATTTTACTTTATTAATATTCTCTTCTGCTTTATTGCATATAAATTAATAGAAACAAGTCAGTAAACTTACCAACATTTAGTTTATTAACAATTGCACCTCCAGTGACATCAACTAAATTACTCAATATATCTTCAAAATTCATATCTTTTGAACTAAGTTGCAGTTTTTCAATAATGGATCTTAGATCCAACACAAAGTTCTTCAGTTCCCTTATCACAGAGTTAACTTCGCGAGTCAATTCTTTTGTGTTGAAATAATTGTCTTCATTGTCACACATTGCTTTTGGAAATCCTAAGCAACCAAGTGAATGGGCAAATAACTGAGAATGGTAAATATGATACGCTTTGTATCCTGGGATGGATAAAAGTTTGTAATATAAACGGGATGCCAATAAAGCAATATTTCTATATTCTTTTGTAACAACATTTTTGCTTCCATGATCTATGTAATAGGCGATAATAGCCAACAGTTTTTGATGATTGATATGATTAGATAAAGAGGCCCAAGATTTTTCTTCCGCGGTCTCTTCTGTATTAAGCCATTCATCAATAGTTGACATTGTTTCTTTTATAACTGAGCGTATATTTATTGACTCTATTGCACTTTCATATTCAGGCGATAATTCTCCAAATTCTAGAAATTCTGAATAATAAATTCCTTGCACCCAATCATCATCTAGACTATTAAATTGCAAATTATTTAACTCATTTAGAATCTTGTTCATTTTATTCTTCTTCTTCTTCTACTATTTTAATGACTATTTTGTGTTAACCACAATCCTGCCAATTTCACGTAGGAGACCACTACACGGTATAATATAATCAATTTGGAATAGGTATTGGGTAAACACGAAACATGCAAGTACAACCAAAACTTGACCAAAACAAACAAAATATTTTTTTCAGTACATTTTTTCCGTAAAGGAAAGGCGTAGAGAGCTTAGTCCATACAGCCATTGCAAAGAGTACTGTAATAATAAGCCATTATTACACAATACTATTCACATTCACTTAGAGACCTAATTTATAATTATATTATTAAACTATTTTCTCTTTAGACTTCATTTAAGCTTTCAATAATATCTAATATGTTATTAATTGTGAATCGATGTCGCTGTATAATCGACTTTAATATGGTTTGCCAATACCTATAGGTATGGCGGGACGGACGCCCGTCCGTCAGTCCGAGAACTATGACTTACTTGAAAAATTTTCAGAACGATTTGAGCAAAATTTGATATAAATCGTTTACTTGATATTAGCTATACGTACAAACCGTGCGAAGCCATAGACAATTAAAAAAAAACAGCTTTTTTATCTGGACACCATCTCACATCTTGTTCCTATTCTAAAAAATAAGTTACTGCAGCAATGGAATATAGACTGGCATATTACTTTATCAAGAAAAGGTACATGGTACGCTGAAATCAATAGTACAATCGGAAAAAAGCCCTGGTTCGTAAATTACACAGCAAGAAGCAGAACATTTTTCACTTCTATTTCAAGACTTGGGTCATGCACGGTTTAATGCTCACCTCCATCGTATGCATATCATTAACTTCCCAAATTGTAACCAATGCAATAACGCTGATCAGACTCTGGATCACATTATCTTTGATTGTCCGTCGGTCCTTCAACATAAAACGCTCTAGTAGATCAATTTTTACAATAGGGTATTTGACACTTTTCTGAAAACTATTTTAAATCATTGTTTGCTACATTATAAACACACTGTCATAATATTTCATTGGAATCTTTTCTATTTTTGGTGAAAATAATTTTTAAAATTTAAATAGCCAAAAGCGCGCGAAAAACGCTGCTCTATGTAATGGCGCTGATCGTGACGTCACAGGCCAGTAAATATGTCAAATCGATAAGTAACAACTGTCTTAAAAGTAAATTGAAATAATAATTTAGAAGAGAAATTGAAGTCGTAGTGCGTATTTTTTACGTTTTTATTTTCCTCTGCTCTGGTTTTCTTTAAAAAATGAAGTACAAGTGGTGCGTAGTGTCACAATATACTAATACTTCTATAAATAACAAACAAACTTCGAGTCTAGAAGAAAATAGATTCACAATCACAATAGTATAGATAGTAGCTATATAGAGTAGAGATGTGTGATAAAATAAGGTAAGGATTCGCTAAAAGTATTGAAACTTTTTTATTTCATATCGATACATTTGAAGGTTTTCTTTTTGGTTTTTTTCTTTGTCATAAACTTTTTACGACTCATTTATATTTGTTGACAGGGCACGCACATTATAGCCTGTCGACCTACAGATGGATGAGACATTAGGACAATAAAGAATGTTCTATTTTTTTATACATGCATGTAGTATGTCTGTCCACTAAATGCATGGCATTTGATAATTAGATATCAGAACCTGATGTTTTTTTAAATTAGTTTTTAACTTGGAGAACAGTATATATCATCAAAATCGACTTTGTAATTTTGAATGATTATATTAAAGTTCAAGAAATGAGAAAAGCATGTAAGTTGCTCTTTTTTTTTAAATTGCTGGCGTTTTCCCTATTTCTTGGATTTTTTAAAAAGCTGATTCTCTCTTTCTGTATTTCTTTTTGGCAGTTCTTATCAGTAGAAGCGGCAAAGTATTCTGTTATCAGTAAATTACTATAAAGTACTCGATACCTACAGACATCGATATTTTATGTATCTTGCTAACACTACTTTGACATGACAGCTGATGACGTCACAGGCCAGAAAACAGAATCGTGATTGGTTGTGAGCAGTTGTGAGAAAACTATATAGTCTTTGGTTGTGAGGACGACCAATTTATAGGACATTTTCGTCGAATAAATTCATAAAAATATTGCATTTTCTTTACGTTATTTTATTAAACTTAAACATGTTTTTTTCTGCAGATGTTAAGAAATAAGCTTTATTAGATTATTATCTATCAGGATGACCACAAAATGCAACTTATTTTCGACAGTGTCAAATACCCTATTGTATAAAAATTCGTAAAATATCCCGCGCTCTACACAAGACCTAAAGAATACTCATACGTATTCAGCATTATATAAATACATATCCTCAACCCTCAAAGATATTTAACTTAAGACTTGGCGTTAGCCTGCATTAAAAGAGAATCAAGAGACTTAAAATGTGAAGTGGCTGTATTGATGAAAGCCCTCTGCTTAAAAAAATTGAAACCTAACCTATATTATAATCCGGTCTTTATATATAAATTGTTTATTGTCAACACAAGTGTTGAATTTTCAAGTGATTTTATATCAATTAAAGTTAAGCATGTCTGTGAAGAGACCAGTGTCTTGGTTTTTAAGTGACACGGGAAGAAAGTTTTCATTTGCGCTTATAACCGGAACGGGTCTTGCATTAACAGCTGCCAGATTCGCACCACATTCAATACTTCTAAATAAATATAAAGATATTGTCCATCATTACAGGTAAATACATACATTTTGGTAACTAATATGTACACGAGAATTTAAGGTGTGAATTACCAAAATTTGAAATTTTCACAATTTGTTATGAGCTTTCGAGTTTTCGATAATCTGTTGTACTGTTGACTTCCTACTATTAATTGTTAGTTTAATATGCAATTGATAAACTACTAATAAAGCTTGTAACTTTACAGTAATGGTAAGCCGGTTGAACTTCCCAAAGAGCTTCAGGAGCGGTATGAATACTGTTTAAATTTAATTAATCTGAATGACGTGCATAAAAAGCTAATTTCTCCATTCAGTGTGTTTGGTTATGATTTGTTTTATGCAGGTACAGTGAAATTTAATTATTTTATGCCATTCCCCCTTATTTCTAATATTTGAGTAAATTAAGAGACCAACAAAGTAGGTACTACTATTATCTATACAAATGTTAATTTTAACTAGTATTCTATGAAACTAAAAAAGTAATGTAAAATTTTAATTACAATTTTATTTTTATTGTAGGAAGTACAAATTCTCGGTTTGGTGCTGTTATTGGTATTCCTGTAAATTTTACTTATAAGACTCTTCAAGATCTGGAAAAAGATAACATTCAGGTATGTAAATAGATTTTCCTAAATAATAATTGTTTGCAGTACATTTTGAAATCTGGATTATTTTTCTTTGTATCAGTATAATGAATTAATGCATTAAAATATGATATGTAACATAATATACTTATTTTTATTATAGGTCAATCAAAAAGGAGTTGACTGGACTTCAGAAATTGGACAAAAGTTAGCAAATGCATTGATTTTGCCAGAGAAAGTACAACAGTTTGCAATATGTAGAGAAATATTAATGACTCAGAATAACAAATTTATTTATGAATCTACATATCCATTTGCATGTTTGTTCCTAGTATATAATATGGCTCATTACATTAATAATAAACTCAATCTATATAAGGGGCCTGTTTCTCTTAGGTTTACTCTGTATACAATACTAGGGTTATTTGGATTGGGAACATATTTATTAATGAAAGATATGACTGAAGTTTATTATGAAACAGAAGTTGATCGCAAACTTTGTGAATTAGGTCCAGAATATATTGAAAGTGGAATTATATTTTATGATAAGTTACTTCAAAGGAATCAAGCTTTGAGAGAATTAATGGGCAAAGAAGGTGAAAGAAAATACAGCAAACTAGGCAATGAAAACTTCTTCCTTCGGCAACCTCGTATGGCTCTTATGCACAGGAAACAGTTTTTTGAAGAACAATTAAGGAATAAACAAAATGAAACTCACGATATTAGTAATAATAAGGTTAATGTTGAAATGTAATACAGATTAGTGAGAAACAAAGAATGTTAATGTAGTTATAATTATTGTTATTTAAATTAAGGAGATATAGTATTTATTTGTGATGCAGAGAAACTTACGAAAAAATAATTTATTATTAGTGCTCAATTTCTTGTTTTTCCATAGAAAGATAAAATGGTAGATACCTAAGGTCTTGTATGCCATTAAAATTTTAAATTCCTATTGTTGTTTTTATTTATGAAATATGTTGTTTACATCAATTTATTAAGTTATATAATTCTTAGAGCGTTCACTAAGTATACATGGCCACACGTCACGTTACACACAAGTTCAGTACACTCGCTGCCTGTCATGACAAGTCTTAAAATCCTATTCAAGTCGTATCACTAACGTGAACAACACGCGTAGCATGACGAACGCGAGAACATTTTGTCTACACTCAAATGTCACTTTTCTCGGGCGCCCAAACGATAGTTCATTCTCGACCCGAGAAACTGACAAATGATTGCAGATAAAGCGTTTCTCGAGTTTGTCATGCTACGCGTGCTGAAATTGAGAAAATAGTGGGAACGTGTTTCTTTTTTGCATACGTCTTTCTCGATTTAAAATATGTTTAAGACTTTAAAAATGAAGAGCATATTTATTTATCTCCTGCATATCATATGTATATCTCCATCAATAGTGGACCTAAATACTTCTTTCCTGTGGATTTTTTATATTCTTCCTTTAATACTTTATTTTAATACATATCATCTCCATTTTACAGCTTTTTTTGTAGCTTTATCATTCAAAAAACATCATAAAAATGAAATAAAAGCTTTTGAAAACAGTGAGTCTTTTAGGCGGTACCTACTACGCCATATATGTGTAATACATTTTGAAAAATCTTATACAAGAAGCATTTAAAACCACTCTCCAAATTTTAGTATGTTAATCTTTACGACAAATAATGAAATACGTGTTTTTTCTTTTTATGTCGTTTAGAACAAAAATGTTGAGTTATATCGTCACCAAGTTATTTTCAAAAAACATACATTTGTGGACGCTCCCGCTGCCCAGTACATGCGCTTTACGCGCTACGTTAGTCCCCCCCCCCCCCCTCCCTTCCCGCAATTCATTGATAGTAATACAAGTACGTTTGCGAGTTAGTAGCAGCTACCTAAAATGTTTTCGTTTTTTTATGCTAGGGCAAATGGTACATAAAGTTGAAACCTTTCCTTCATACTTTTACGGGCTTAGGACCGTCAAATTGCAAAAATTCTATTAGATACCTACTATTACAATAACTATACTGCTTTAAATTTATAAATAAGTAGGTAAGCAAATATCAAGTTACCTAAAATTCTGTTTAGTTAAACCAATAATAAAAAAAGTAGGTACTTAACTAGATATTCTTTGCAATCAGGCGTATTTAAAAAATCATCAACTTTATGTACATAATCAACTAATCACTTTATCCTACCTAATTTAACTATTTACCTACGTATACTTTAATAATTGTTCAAAGTGCATACCGTTCCTCTCCACACAGAGTCTTGCACGTTTTTGCACATTGTCTTTTAATTTGGCGAGCACTACAGTGTCATTTTTCACGTGGTCAAATGCCGCACTATTTGCACTTTTAAGTCCTCGAGGCTTTGTGCTTCTTCAAAATACACACGTCTTTTGATTTCACCCCACAAATAAAAGTCGCACGGTGTTAGGTCCGGCGATCGAGCACGCCACACGATGGGGCCTCCGCGTCCAATCCATCGATCACCATATTCTATGGTGAGATGATCTCGGACGGCGGCGGCGTAATGGGGTGGTGCACCGTCCAGTTGAAAATAAAAATCCCGGAAGTAGGCCACGGGCAAGTCCTCCATGAAATCGGCAATGACATGCCACAACATATCAAGGAAGTTGCCGCCGGTGAGCGGCCCTTCGATGAAGTACGGCCCCAGTATTTTCGTGCCTATAACACCGGCCCACACATTGACACTAAAGCGCACTTGATGGTGGGTTTCCCGAATCATATGCGGATTTCTGAAGGACCACCAGTGTTCGTTATGATGGTTATAAAGCCCCACACGAGTAAACAATGCTTCGTCAGTCCACAAAATGTTGGCATTAGGGTGTGCAATCAGCCATTCACAAAAGGTGCGACGGGGCACATTATCTCCATCGTGTAGAGCTTGGACCTTTTGGAAGTCGTAAGGGTGTAGCCCTGTCACATTCAGCAGCTTCCACACGGCATAGTGGCTTACGTTAAATCGGCGTGCGGCATCTCGTGTACTGGCTCGCGGGTCCCTTTCGAAGAAATCCAAGATTTCATCTTCGATTTCAACTGCAAGTCTTGATCTTCCACCTCCGCGACCGTGAGCAGGCGTAGTAAATTGACCATAGTCCAATAGCCTTTGGTTCACAGCCAAAAATGTCTCGCGACTAGGTACTGCGGGGTTTATTAATCCCTGATTTTGCAGGGCTGGGATGGATTCTGTTTCGTATAGTCTCCGAGCTGCATTTAAACTTTCACCGCTTAAAATGTAACACCGCACCATTTCGTAATATTCGCGATTGGAATACATTCCGACACGCGAAGTGTGGGGCTGCGGCGGGTGGCGCGCAACACGGAAGCAAAGGCGGAAGCGCGTGCGTTCAAAGGGATTGTGCGCGGGTGACTGATGTTGCCGACTAAGGCGCCTATTACACTACCCAATCTATCGGGCCCGATCCAGCGGGTACACTGTAAATTGGGTAGTCTAATCGCAGTTAGAGAGTTAGGGTCCCGATATCGGGTGAACGTGGGCGCCCGATCGCCCGATGAGAGTTAGGGTCGATTTATCGGGTAATGTGATCGCTGTTAGGGTGTTAGAGCTCTCAGTCGGTTGTTGCGCAGCGTGCGTGTGAGACGTCAGTGAACGACAACGAAAATTGCGAACAGACAAAAATTATCTTCTCAAAAGGAAAAGAAATAATATTAAGTCTTTTTCTAATATATATAATATATATATTAATATGATATAATGTTTTAAACAATTCTAGATAGCCTTTGCATGTGTCTGGTACAATTATAAATTTTATATAAATTACAATAATAAAAACTAATGCTATAATAAACTTTATATAATTGTTGTGCCCGATAGGGTCCATAGTGAGACTAACTTAATTATGTAATATTATTTTAAATTACCTATGGAAACAATAAACTTATTGACTATTTATACTTTAAGTCATTATATGCATTTCCCGTTGCTAAAAATTTTAAGGTTACAGCACAGCTAACCGCTGTTTTGCGCTATATAAGCTATGACTAAGTTTAATATATGATCAAATTGTACAGAACTCATTCTGTAGTAGTTCAAACTGCATAGTTGGTCATTTAGAATCAAATATTTTTCACCCAACATTTTGTTTTATTATTTACGCCCGCAGTTAAAGTATGGGCATAGCCCATACTTTAACTGCGGGCTAAGTAGTTCAAAGTGCATAGTTGGTCTCTTAGAAGCAAATATTTTTCACCCAACATTTTGTTTTATTATTTACGCCCGCAGTTAAAGTACGAGCTATGCCAATTTTTGGTACTTTGAGAGCGAAGGAGCCATCCTTTCAACGCCACGTTTGCATGCCAACTGAGTTAGGGAGGCGATCTAGTGCAGTGTAATCACAACGACACCAACCGTCCTAAATCGCGGCCGATATATCGTGCCCGATAGATTGGGTAGTGTAATAGGCGCCTAAATAAAAACCGAGCAGATATCATCGGCGGTGCATGCGCGGCGCATCCCCTGCGCCCGCGCCCCTTGCTACCCCTGCTCGTTTCGTTCATAACTAATGTGACAATGCGAATGTTATAATTATCTTGTAATTACAAAAAGTTTACACTTCATTTTGAAAATTTTACATACTGTTTTTTTTTCATATATGTGATCTATTAACGATACCTAATGCCTAGAAAAAATTTGGAGAGTCATTTTAAATGCAGGCGGTATATAATAAATACTAAGCGGCGTTGCGGTAATATCGTCGCGCTTCTCTGAACATGATTCCATTGACTTAGCGTGGAAAGAGGCTCTCTCAACGGTATTGCTTCCGGAGGGTACCACATTAAACATGGTCGATATGAGGGGCGTGAAGGCGGGATGTCGTCACCGGAGGAAGTAGAAAAAAGAGTGGCGTCGCTTCCTGTGACTTTCTACCTGTTGGTTGGTTGGAATTCGGTAACAGTGTCGTCGGTGTCCAATGATCTCGAAAAGTCATCGTACGACGGAGATGGAGATCGAGGCGGGGATCACTGGAAAGCGGTCCTCGTGATGGAGGCGCTTTCGCATTCCATGACGCAAGTCATGGGAGGAGACGGTGACGCCGGGGACTCCGACGTTGCATGAATTACAAGGAGAAAGCTGTCGACATAGCTTACGAGCATATGCCGGCGCAAGTCATCGATCGAGATGAATGGTCGGATGGTTTGAAGCTTATGAGAGCATATTACGGTATGCAACCCGTTTAAAGCGAAAATAAAGATAAAGAAAGAGATAATGGATGGGGTCACTCCCGACTTTCTCCGACACACCTCCCTTAGTAGGCGAGAGAGTATTAGTAGAGGGAGAAGTTGCGAGTGCAAAGAAGACCGGCCCCCCGCCGAAGCGAGGGGGAATGAGTAAAAATGCGGCTAACCCTAATGAATGTAACGGCAACTTTCACCCTTGGGACTATACCGAAGTGCAGTGGAATCGTGTCTTCGGTGTTGCTAAAGCTTGCGCTCGGGGGAGCAGAAGGCACGAGATGTACTTACACGAGAGGTTCGAGTACCACTGTGTACAAGGGCATGCAACGAGGGCAGAATGCAGAATGTTCTGCCAAGCGTTTCCCCCACTTGGCCCATATTCAAGCCCAGCGTCTACCCCCAGTTTTATAAAATCTGTGTTGCAAGTAATAAGAATTATAACTATTTATTAAAATATTCCCTGATTTATTGCCATTATTTTAATTAAACAATGTTATTCAATTATTTTTATAATAAAAGAAAACCATCGACCATCCTGACAATGTGTACGTCCCCATACACATACCGGTGGCAACCCTACACTTGACCGGTAAGCTTATATTCAAATATATTTTCTATCGTTTGCTTACAAACGCAAAGTATTTATTCAAATTAAATACAGAGTATACCTTCATAACAATATTATTCTACACATTCTCATTTTTTATGGAAACGTTTACATTTACCAAATTAAATTATTATTATAAAATATTTGACTTATATAATTTATTGTTCGTTTATTTACCACTGACTACCGTAAACAATTATCAATTCCAAATAAGGGAGTCTTGTCTGAGAAGAACTGGCGAAACAAACTCCGACAAGAAAAGTGATTGCTCCGTTTGATGTAATATTTTCAGAAAGAACTGACTGTATCTCTTGAGTGTTTCAGTTTGTGATCTGGATTGAATCTCTTCTCACGCTTGCCCTGCGAATCTATAAAAATCCAAATCAGAATTGAATTCACTCAGGTGTCCGAATTCACATCAAAAATGGAATCAATAGAATTTCTTCACTAAATGACGTGAATTCGGACACAGGAGTGAATTCGAATGTGGAAGTATTAAAAAAAACGAAAGTACTGAAAAAAGCACCTCCACTAGATGGCGACTCTAAGATGGAAGTATTTAAAAAAAAGACATTAGTTCCCGAAATTAAACTAGATGATGCCACAGTACGTTCTTGTTTTCTCCATGACAACCCTTCCGGTTTTCTTTCATGTTTAATAGTTTAATTCATACATCTATTTTGATTTCGGGAACTCATGTTTTTTGTAATTCCTCATTGATATTTTAATTCTACAATTTGTGCTGCCATCTAGTGAAATATTATTAATAGTTTCTTTATTTTTTTTAAATACTCGCTCATTGTTTTTTTCATCACAGAACAACATTCTTAAGGTTCGAGCACATTATGCCGGGCCGCAGCGGGGCGGAGCGGGCCGCAGCGCAGCGCAAAATGCGTACCTAGCATATTTGTGACGGGCCGGATCGCATTGCATTGACGGATTTTGAGTACAGTGTACTGCCGGAATTTGCGTGTAACTGTACGTTATGGATAGTTCTGACGAAGAACTTTCGTTTTTTTGCCTGCTGTTAGAAGAAGAACAGCATAAACAACAAATTCGTCCAAAGAGGAAACGTAAAATATGGATACACCCTATTTGTTCCAAGAGAAAGATTTTCGGCGAATACTATCATCTTTTTCCCGATCTTATAGCAGACAAAAACAAGTTTTGGGGATATTTTCGGATGACTCCTGATCGATATTTTCAATTACTTGAAATAATAAAGGAGGATCTGCATAAAAAAACTACAACTTTTCGTGCGCCTATCGGACCAGAAGAGCGGCTTGTGGTGTGTTTAAGGTAAGTTTCACTATAGCATACCTGGTGATTTTTAATTATCCTTTTATCCTCCCATTTAATCCTGTGTAAATTGTATCTTAAATTGTTAGTGGGGTCGTACGTTAGGATCGTGTATATTTGTCTTTGTAATAGTTAGCAGCGGCGCTAGTTAGGGTATGTTTTCATTTTAAAGAAAAAAAAACCATATATATAGTGTCAATATTATATTATCACAAAATCACAGAACAAAATATTATCTATCTTAAACGTAAAACTATTTTTAATCAACATCTTCCATTTCTCTTTGTGTTTGGCCTCTTATTAGCCCATCACACAAAATTCCATTCATTGGTTATTGTTTTTTTGTTGAACAGAATTTAAAAAAGCATTTAATGCGTTATCATCAAGATCAAGACTAATCTCTTCCTGTGTGTCAATATCATTTGGATTTACATTTGTTGAAGTTGGTGTTATTTTTTGGTTTCGAGGTTGCGCATCAACATCATTTGAATTAACAACGATTATGGGCGGTGCGCTCTCTTGAGATAATTCTAATACATATTGTGGTTTAGACTTCTCCCTGAAAACGAACTCCTCTGCATCGGTAACTATTTTAAAAACTTCACGTTTTACACGAATTTGTACATCTTCCGGAAAATATGAAACAGTTTCCCCCAAGTTCTTGAAAAACTCAATTATTTTATCGGATTCATTTTTCTTGGTACTGTATTTTTTTTCTAAATACTCTTGCAGTAACGAGTGTGTCGGTGAAAGCTGTGGTGGAATATCTAAAGTTCTAGGATTCCTTTTACAAGCACGAGGTGAACTGTCTTCTGAAGAACTAGGACGATTTCTTATAGTGCTTTGTGAAGTACCAGCACTTGAACTAGGGCTATCACGGCTATGAATATCATCTAAAAGACTATTATCCTCATTACTTGAGTCTTGGAAAATATTATTTGGTGGAAAATTTGAAAAAGTTTCATCCTCGTTGCTAATATAGGGGATAAGGAATGACAATAAATCTTCATATTTTGGTTTCTTCATATTTGTAGCAGCTTGTCCACTTTTTGTTTTCCTTAACTTTTTAGCGCGTCTGTAATTATCTCTTATTCGTCTCCATCTGTCTCTACAAGTTTTAGCTGTGGAAGAAAAAATATAGGTAGGTATTAGTAAAGTTAGAACATAAAGCATAAATAGGCTGATAATCATGCGATTAAAGGACACCATGGAAAATAACCTTATTGGCTTGCATAAATGTAAGGATCGGCCAAAAGACGTAAGATGTTTGAACCACATTGCTCTTTATGTTTCAGATATTTGGCAACAGGAAATTCAATGAAATCATTAGCCACTACTTTTCGCCTTGGCGAATCAACTGTTAGACAAATTATTTATGAGGCATGTTCAGCCATATTTAACAAGCTGTCACCTAATGTCATGCCCGTACCGACAGAAGCAGACTGGAAACGTAAAGAACAGCGTTTTAGAAAGCAATGGAACTTTCCAAATTGCATTGGGGCACTGGATGGAAAGCATGTTATTATTGAAGCACCACCGAATAGCGGTTCCCTTTATTTTTCTTACAAAAAAACGTTTACTATAGTTTTATTGGCCTTAGTCGATGCGGACTACCGTTTTACAGTCATCGATGTTGGTGCCTTGGGTAAAAATTCTGATAGCCTAATACTCAATAATTCTAATTTTGGCAAAGCTTTAATCGATGGACAGTTTAGTTTGCCTGCTGATAGTTTAATACCGGGTACAGACATAAAGTTACCACATGTCATCGTCGGAGACGAAGCTTTTCCATTAACCAGACATTTGATGAGACCATATCCAGCAAATCAGTTGACAAATGACGAAGACAAGAAAGCTTTTAATTATAGTTTGAGTAGAGCTAGGCGTGTGAGCGAAAATGCTTTTGGTATATTAGTGAAAAAGTTTAGAGTTTACGAAAGACGTTTTTCGTTATTGCCGAAACATGTTAATGTTATTATATTAGCCACTTGTTGTTTGCACAATTTACTGCGAAACGACATTTGCTACTGGTCTGAAGAGGAAGCTCAGAGAAATGTGGTAACAGAAGCTGTAAGAGATTTGCCATATATTGGAGGACATGCAGCACTAGACGCAATGTGTGTTCGTGATCAATTTAAAAGATATTTCGTATCTCCAACTGGTACCGTTGAGTGGCAGTCTAGGGTTATTAGAAGAGGTATGCGAAGAAACTAATATCTTGACACTAAGGTGATTTATTGGATACTGCCTGCTTACTTATAAAAAAACCGGCCAAGTGCGAGTCGGACTCGCATATGACGGGTTTCGTACCACTGATAATACGGAACCCAAAAAATTTAAGAATACTGTTATTTTCGGCATTTTGTACGGAACCGTCTCTGTGCGGGCCCGACTCGCACTTGACCGGATTTTCCCTTTTGAGGAACGGGTCCCTAAAAATAAAGCAAAAACCACAATTTCGCGACAATTATTATTCATCTGTTATTTATTATTATTAATTATGTTCATTATTATTGTCATCATTAATAAAGTAAATACCTAGAGTAGGTATTAAATAATGAAAGATACACTATGGTTGTTAGTGTCAAACAGCCTAGTGGCAATAAACATTTCCTCAGAAATCTGTCTAAAGAGGTCTAAATCAATGATATTATATATTATGTTACTTGGTCTAAATACGTCATAGTAAGTTACAAAAAAATGTGATTATAGTACATCACGATACAAGTGCGTTATAATTGTTATAACGTAAGAAATATATACTTGACAGTGATACTTACCAGATTCTTTCATTATGTCCCCTATTTCCTTCCAAATATTATCTCTTCTTTGTTGATCATCGTAATGAGGATCTTGCAAATCATAAAGTTCTTTGTATCCTTGAACTAAATTAATCAAAAGTTCTTCATTCATTTTTGTGAACACCAAAGGAACACGCAAGTACCAAAAAACGCAAATATCGTGAAATGAACACGTGTGCGCGTGCACACCAATCCGCTTGCTATAGCACACTGTTGTCGGGTCGCAGCGGGGCGGGGCGGGCCGCATCACATGGACGGAAATCCGCCGCGCAATAATGCGAGCCGCTGCGGCCCGTCACAGTGTGCGTTATTTCATATAAATTATATTGAAGCAATTTAAGCGGATTTTTGCGCTCCGCCCCGCCCCGCTGCGACCCGGCATAATGTGCTCGAACCTTTACTCTTCTTTTTGACAATATTCATAACTTTTTGGTTGTCACCTTTGGTTGTCACGCATAAAACTATATAATCTGTGGTCACGCACGACTCTTGAGTTCGAAATTATTTCTCTACTTGGATTTTCTGTACCATCCCCTTTGATTAAAACAAAATAATCAAAGACCATCATTCTTCTAGTAATTGTTTAATGAACACAAAGTACCTACAGTATTAATAAATAAAAAGATACAAATTTAGAATGTGTGTCCCAGTGAATAAATAATCTAAGATCAGTGATAATTTGTGAATCTTGTAATTGTGTCGCTCGCTATAGAGATATAAATCCTTTTATCGATAATTTCTGATTGCCGATATGTGTGGAGGTTTTACTTGTTCCAAAAACGCGCTTATTGCGTTAAATATCTTGTATGTGGTAAGAGATATTTTGGTTATTTAAAAGCTGTCGATGCCAAGCTAAACTCGAGAAAATTTAATTTCTGTTTGTTTTATCGTAATTAAACAAACAGAAATTAAATTTTCTAAATAATTATATTATAGTCATATGTAATAAAGAGAAATAATTATATTCCTAGATACAATATTACTGTTACCTTAGGTATTTTCAGAATTGTAACCAATGTTTATGTTATCTTTTTATTATGTTTTCAGTATAAACATATAATATTAATGCAAAGATCTTTTTTGTATATATGAGTATATATTTAGTTTGTCATATTTATTTATTGTTTATTACATAAACAATATAGGATGAAATGTTCAAAGTAAAGAGATATTCTCTTTTTTAGGTGGTAGCTTCCATCTTGATATCAGTGGCAGTGTATGGGCAAACATCATCATTTATTGGCAATTTGCCTATTGTAGGTGGCATCTTAGCTTGTGGTGTTTTTTTAATTCTAATATCCATATTGGGTTTGGCTGGGGCTGTGAAACACCATCAGGTTATGCTGTTTTTTGTATCCTTTTTAAATGATATATTCCTGATTCTATTCCTTTAAATGATATCTAATTTATTTATTAAGTACCTACCTTTTTGTAATTTGAACTTGCACCCAAAGCTGCCGCTTCATTTTGGAAGAACTCCCATTTTCTTTAATTATGTATATTTTGTATTAATTAACTATCATCAATGCGTCCCTCTGACATTGCATGTGAATCAATGGGCAAATAACCAATGGCATAGAGTTTTAACTTACGTAAGTGCTTGTAACAGCCTAGATTGAATAAATGAATCTGAATGAACAACATCATTCAGTTACATAGAAAACAAATAAATTGAATTGTCATAAAGAGTTGTACCAGTCATGTAAACAATTCTCCTTAAACAATACTTCAGTACATGGTGATTTTATTTCTATTGTTTCTTGTACAATTTTCTGTGGCATGTGCATGTCTTGCAGTCAATTCAGAGCAACAGGAACTACTGGCACAACAGGTAAGTGAAAAGATATGATATATTCTTCATTTATTTCCATTAAGGTAACAAAAAAATATTGATTATATGTTTCAGTTAACTAAAATGTTTATTAATATTTTTTTCTAAAAATGTTTCTAGGGCTGGAATAGAGTCAATATGGATGTTAAAGGACAGATAGAAAAAAGATTCCTGTGCTGCGGTTTTCAAGAAAGAAATTTTCCCATCAATGGGACTGCTGATTTTCCTACGTGTGATGTGGATGTGAGAATACTTTTTTATGATTGGATTTAAATGATAATGATATTCCCATTAAATTAACTTGTGAGTAATACAAATAATAATTATTTTGGTTTACAAATAATTGTAAACCAAAATAATTATACTTTGCTTTTTCTTTTGGGTTAGTGTTAAGGTGCATATAAGCAAATGATTAAGTGATAGTTAAAAAATTTATAAAATTAAAAATATGTTTTATGTGTGAGTTAGGCAACAGTTGGATATTAGATATAAAAAAAGCATATCAAAAATATTATGCAACTTCACATAAATTGCTCAGATTTCCAAGCCAAAGCCCTCGGGTTATGCAGTATTTGGGACAAAAATGTACTACACACAAAACCCAGACCTAAGGCAATATAGAAAAGTTAATTTTTTACATTACTTGATTGTGAATCAAAGCCAGAACACAGAGATGACGACACCCTGTAACCGGCGTGCGAATCACTTGGCTATATGAAGGTTGTTAAATTGTAATGAACTTGTTATAGAGCTATTGATATCTTTTCACATTTTCTGAAATAATGTGTCTCTCATTTCAAAATATTCATAAAATTTTACTTTAAAATATGCATGCCCCAAGGCTCTGTATTGGGACCATTTTTTACAATATCGGCAAACAGTGAAAACCCCTCTAAACCTTCTGAACTCCATCAAAAGGGACTTGACGCCATTTCAAAATGGATTAAATTCAAATTGTGTAATTCCCAATACTGTTTTGGACCTTTAAAGTTCTTTTCCATAGACAATGCCTATAGAACATATTATGTATTTTGTATAATTCTATATTGCAGAAACTTTGCTGCAACAAAATGAATATCTCACGCGATTGTTGGTGTGAACCATGCATGGAAAAACTTAAAGAGACTATTGACTATGCCTTCAAACTGTGTGGTGGTATCGGCTTATTTTTCAGCTTCACAGAGGTATGTTTTATTAATTACGATTATTTTAACAACTATCTGTAATGTCTTCTAATCAAACATGTGTGTAAATACATATTCAAATATAATTGTTTCATCATAATACGTGTTATCTAATAACAGTGCTATCACATAATAGTTATCTGCAAACAAGTATTATTTATGTTGTAAAACTCTTATAAATACTTTCATCTAAATGTTATCATTCTAGTTGGGCAATTAGGTATTAAGTAATGATTTCATTATTAAATAAAGTTTATCTTTTATATAGAAACAGCTTTTAAAATTACAAAATATAGTAGTAACAATTTATTTAATATCTTGAAAAAAATACTTCCTTTTTTGTGTGTGTGTGTGTGTGGGGGGGGGGGGGGTGAAAAATTTAAAATAGTTTTATTTGACTGTTTACTGAGATTCCACGACAAACTCTTCATTGCTATGATTGCCGTTCTTTTGCGACCATAATGTCTCTGTTTTTAATTTGTGTAGCTCAGTTCCGATATAATTGTCGCATGCTTTGGGTTAGCGTTGTCTATATGGGTGTCGTCGAGCATTTATATGAGACAGTACCCGCATTTCAGCTACTCAAAAAGAAATGTTTACGAACTCAGATTCAGCGTCACCGTCAATGTCAAAGAACAAGGGCAACTTGCATACGACGAATTACTAATCCCGGTCAATAACACGTCAGCAACAGATCTTATACATTTGTGAGCAGAATAGTTTCTGTTCTGTTATCTTTACAAAGGACAATGTCCAAATTAGCCTATGAACCTCTAAGAATATCTTGTATATCATAATTCTTATCATATTTTATGATTAATATATCAGCTTTTAAAATCAAACGGACACTGCCCATTTTTGTAATTACTTTAAAAAGTAATATCAATACATTTCATAAATTTCAATAAACGCTGCCACCATATTTTAATAAGTTGACAAATCAGGATCTATGCACAATTTGATGTATAATCAACCAATGAACACTTAAAGCGCTTGACATTAAAACGAGACTCAAAACGTTCGTAGATTTTTAAGCGACTGGAAGCGCTCTTTTACATACGTTTGACAATTTTGAACTTTTGAAGTTTTGTTTGACAATCGCTTTTATACTCGCGTTGTGTTTACGTCGCTTGAGTTTGTTTGTACGATTTCTTGTGTCTTGTGAATATTAGTTATAAAATAACGACTTGGCTTGAACTAAGGACTGATTTCGTCTTATAATATCTACCTTCGGCAGTGATTTACGGCATACCGACCTACTATAGACGACGACTTAGCATTTATTTAACGGACATTAACATGGAATCTGGGTGTGTTGAAGTGTTTTGTGTTAATTGCGGTTCAGCTTCTGGCTGCATGGTATTAGAAGATGAGCAGATCCTTCAGTGTATACAACACTGGGTTGCTCCAAGATTGGTAAGTACATGCTCCCGATACAGAACCTACAGAACCTTTTAAAGCAAACAACAACAATCAACATTTAAAGCAAAGTAGACATACATTTCCCTACAAAAAGCAAGTAAAACAAACATTAAAAAGAATCTAACCGCACGCTACAATTGTTAAAATTATAACCTCAAATCCAAAATATATTTTTTGATTTATACATTTCTTAGAAGTGTCCGTTACTTAAACATGTATTTAGTCGTAAATATAGATACTTTAGAACACGAAAAGTGATAGTACATGCTTAGAGGTTCTTAGGCGAAAAATGTATGGGGGCTGGACATTGTCCTTTAAGAGCGTCTTGTGCATACTGTTTCTAATTAGTTTGTAATTATAATCAGCGCCGGCTCAATGAAACTTGGCGTCCTAGGCAAAAAAAAACACAAAGAATGTATACCGATTGTAAGAGTGTCATTTTGCATATGACAAAAGAAATTCCTTAGATACTGTTGGTCTAAAAATGTTGTTAACTCAAATACTAGTGCCCTAGGGTGTTGCCTAGTTTGCCTTTATGTGCGCCCTAGGGCGTTGTTTGTTGTGTGAAGTGTGAGAATAAGCTTGTAAGAAGAGGTCTGTTCAAACGTTCTTGTAAATACTTATTGACTTCTTGATCAAATAACTTTCTGTGTAAAAAGCATAGCATAGTAGTAAACCACTTTCCTTTTAAGCGCACGCTGTAGATCATATCTGTTTACGTCAGCAGAGTAATTTACATTATCATGTCATCGCAGTAATAACGGTCGCTGTAACGGTACAAATGGCAATATGGAATATGGAAGTGGTGGTGAAACTAGTTTGAGCTTTAATATGTTGATTGATACCTAAACGTCTTAAAACGTACCATAGGTTGGTGCAAATTAATCAGTGCAATGTCCACAGACTTATTACAGTGATAAAGTAAAACCACTCTGGTCAAACTAATTTTAATTTTACCTATGTATAAGGACAATGTCCATACTCAGAAAATTTGAAATTCTCTTATTAGGCTGAATAATACGGTTCAAATACTAATCTTTTGCTTAAAATTCGGAGCAAGCGGAGGGATGACCCGTCTAAGCGACCTTAAAGCTTCCGTTGATAAGCTTACATATTATTGGTTGAGTGTATAAATCTCAGTTCAGACGTTTTCCCAGTCTAAAATGCGATTATCGAGAAATCTTATTAGGCGGGAAGGGAAAATAAAACTCAATATGTAGAAACTTATTAAGTATATTGCGAAACTTTTTTGATATTTTCTAATTTACCTCCAAAGAGGACTGGACGGACTAATTCATTTAGTTACATTACACGACCGCCTTTGGGTCACCAACTTACATATGTGTATCAGATTTTTACTCAATCGTTCTAATAGTTTCGGCAAAAATCAGCTGTGTCAGACGAACAAATAGACAACCGTTTCTTTTTGAGTTGCGGCTAAATTTATCAAAACAATTAATTTTAAATTGCAGGGACTGCCGTAAAATGGCGTATTGAGCTTAAATCATATTAAACGTGATCGTATTAAGCGGGTTTTACTGTATATATATATATATATATATATGTCAATTCTGCGTTACGCGCCAGATTTACTGTCAGATATGCAGCGACCCTTACTTAAGTTGGTTTTCGCATATCGGAACTGAGTAGCTCGGCCGAGTTTTCGGTTTCTGCAATACTCTGTGCATTTTTATAGGTATTGAATGGTTTAAATTTAAAAGAAGGTTGTTAATAACATACATTCAATCATCTGACATTTGCATTTTACATAACATTATTTCTGGGTATTGCTTTGTGACTGTGTGTGACTAACAGATGGTTGATTACTTTGCAGTTTCTTGGTGTTTGGTTGACAGTAAGATATCGTAACCAAAAGGATCCGCGAGCTAATCCCAGTGCATTTCTGTGAATTAACGGATATTATGGACTTACAGCATAACGTCACTTGAGGTGGATTGGTGTTTCGAGCATGTCGTTTGCTTATAACCGCCTATGGGACTGTAGAGCGTCATAATGTTATCTAACTAAATGTAATAACTTTATAGCCATAATAGCGTTATATTTGCTATATATATTTTTTATAAATATGTCACTAAGTCCGCTTCTTTTGATTTAATTTTCAAATAAACTTGATTGGTGGAGAATTTTTCAATGTTATGTTATATAAAAAAAAATAGATAAATTATCAATTATATACAGTGCGAATGAGAAATTAACATGTACTGAAGAACAGAATTTATATTAGTATTAGTGTAAATAAAGTTCTCCGTTATCAATTGTTACAAATTTTCGTAGATTTACAAACCGCCCATGATACGCTGTCACTGAATCGGGTATGTTTCCATTTTCATCAACCTTTCGAGACGTAAGTTAACTACTTTTATGTTATTATATTTGATCAATTTTGCATTCATAATGCTATACTGAAAAATAATCCTAATGAAAAATGCTTATAATATTCACTTTGTCCCTGGCACTATCGAGATGGGAACGCATGACCTTTTGCTATCGAAAAGCAGTCATCCGAATTGTGAATTATCATTAAGAACTTCTATGTCGTTGAAAAAAAAATGTTAATTCAGACCATTCGGTTACAGAGTTTTGTAGACAAGACGAATGTGGAAGCTGATTTATTGTTATTACATCAATACATTTGTATCGTGGTTAGTGGATTTGGCTTTGAAGACAATTTAAAAAAAGTTCATTTTCTGTATGGACGCGCTCGATAATTGACACCCAGAAACCGGTGTGAAAGTCGTTCAACCATGGAGATTATAGAAAAGTAATTTCTTCAAGTAGGCTCTATGGTTGCTGTTACCGAGATTACTTTCTTTCAGTGACCGTGTAGACCGCGGAGTGATACTAAATAATATTTATTTCATTCTTTTTTTGTGTAGCTTAATGCTGGAAGCTCATCATATTAACAATATATATTTCCCTTTCGCAATATTTTTAAATATACAACGCTTATAAGCTTATTACAAGCTTCCGCATATAAACAAGCAATCTGAAATTTATTTAAATTAGACATTGTATAGAACATTCACTACTTTATTAACTCTACACATATTTGTCCCGAATAATGATAATATGAAGAGTATGACGCTCTGCACACCTATGGTGTTATGTCCCACGCATACATAGTTTGACGTCTATGTGCCTCGCTTTGCACGCAACTCTACGAATATCACAAAGTACTTTGCCGCCTGTTGTCGCATATTTTGAGTATTATATTTCAATTTTAATATAATAGATGTTAAATAGTTGTAGTACCATTTGATATATTAGAATGAGAACATAGTTGTTTATTATTAAAGAGATCATTTGCTTTAAATATAACACTGTATTCTTAAGACGTTATTTCATTATTATAATGATTTTGGTTAAAGTAACGTTTAATATTTAGGTACTTAGGTATATTTTAGATGTATATTTAATAATTTTAGGCCCGAAGACTTTAATTCATAAATTCTAACAAAACAACATTGGTTGATTATTATTAATCATAATCTTTAACTTCCACTATACTTAAATTTACATGAAAAATAATTTCATATTACTGGTTTTCTACGCCCTCGTGAACTATAACTATGTCACCCGTGTAGGATATAGTTTTCCGGAGGTGAAAGATTTTCAAAATCGAGCGCGTAGTTTTGGCTCATTTAATGCAAACAACAATCAAGTCTCATTTATTAGTATAGACTTGCTGCCCAGAGGCTTCGCCTACGTTGATATCCATGGTTTTTTTTTGTTATAAAAAGTTTCAACCTCTTTATCACCCTTTTAAGGATATAATATCCTATAATGCTAAAATGGGTATTTATTAATTTTGTATTATTAGCCAAAAATCAATGTTTTTTCTTACTTCAAAAGTGACAGTCTTCCATGCCAACATTAAACCCCTATTTATAAAAATCCTTACATAGGTAGTAAGTTTTATATTTTACAAAATTACTAGCTTAAGTAGATGGTTCCAAGATCACTAGTTTACGATTGGCGTTAATGAATCAGTTAGGTCTCAGGTCTTTTAAATTCATACAGCTAGTGCACAAACGTCCATTAAATTTATCATTAGTTTAAAGTGACATTACCCATACAAATTTGACATACATGTGACTTAAAGGTGTCATTGAACCATAATGGACGTTTGTGCAACTGACCAGTAGATACTCGTTTATAGTCTAAGATTATTTTACAATTTACATTATTCAAACCTTATTCATAGTAAAAACATAGTTGCTTTCCGTCTGTATGTCCCTATGTATGTTTAGATATAAAAAAAATACGCAACAGATTTTGATGCGTTTTTTTTTAATAAATAGGGTGATTCAAAAACGAGGTTTTTATAAATGACTACGCGGGCGAAGCCGCAGACAGAATTTTTTATTAATAAGTAACAAATATAACAGAAATAAACTTATTATTATAGTTTTGTATTGTACTCCTGGTACAATTATATGAGACTACAGAAAACGTAAAAACAAAGTAACATTGTTTTTTTATTAGTGTGTTACTACGGAAGTTGTCGAGTTGCAGCGCATATATTTTTTATATAAAAATAATTGGATACTTTGGATATTGGATCTATAAAACATATTTAATCACAGGTTTTTCTTTGATCATTATATTGTCTTTTGGCTTTATCATATTAACATTTCACATCCATATTCTATGCACGACTTTGTAAAAATAATAATTAGTAAATATGTGATAAAACGCCTTGGATAAATAACGCTTTATAAAAATGTTAACTTTGATATTTGCATGATTGTTTTCTTACGCATGTTCCGTTGATAAGGCCGTACGTTCCATTATTTACGTCATTCACAAGTTCATCATATCTGATTAAGTCATATCGTATGTATTTAATTATAGATTTTTTTCAGTTATTCGCCGTGTGGCTCGCCCGAAGATACCGAAATCAGCCTGACCCTAATTATAAGGAACCTCATGCTATTTTTCCAATGAAAAACTATCTATATTAGTAATATAATAATGTCTGTAGACTGCATTATTGGTAATCATTAGTGGTGTTAAGGGTGCGCATAAACATGAATAGAAAATGAGACGTAAACTATCCAGTCAATATGACAGATTATACAGGGAGCAACAAAATGACCGACACAGCCGAAAGTTTCAAGTTAGTTTATATGCAAACGTTCATTTTATTTGATAAATATTTCAAAATCGAGAAGGTATAAAATTGGAGTAAAAATTTTAAATTTCTAAGTGTTGAGAGCCCTATAACGCGCATGCGCAATATCGATTGTGCGCAGATAACAACGGACCGCGAAATACATTAATTTAATTATTTACCGATATCTTAATGATAATTAAAAAATGCGCTAGAACAAAACAAAAATCGACAAAAGTCCGGTGGTGACAGAAACAAGGGCGCCGACGCCGACGGAACAAAAATCCGCGAGCACGGCGAGTGAATGAGTGAATGGAGCACGGTTCGCTTTGCCTTTGTTAACCAGGTACGAATTCAGTTTATCTATTTTTCGAATTCGTATTTTGTTGCCACGCAATTGTTTTTGAATTTTCTTTTTAAATACATTTTAAATAAGTAACCAAACCCTTACTTAGTGTTTTAACATAATGATAATGGTTCATTATTATCACAAATGTACTTTTTGTTAATGGATGATGTATTAGTTTAACTACTTTAATAAATGATCGTGTAATAATGTAGTAACGTAATGTAAATTAGTTAACATTAGAATAATCTTTTAACAATGATTTATTAAATGTTAGTCTATTAATTAATTTCAGCATTTTGACTGATTCGTTTAGTGATAGTCAGTTTGAAATTAAACTAGGACTATTTGACTTGTGAAATTACAAAAAACGTAGGTTATTGAGAATAAGCAGTAGAGATTTTCTACTTTCTTCAAATCATAAACCAGCTGTTAGTCTGTCATTCGATTTAAGCATTTTGACTGCCTTGTTTAGTGATTCTCTGGTAGAATTTGCATGAAAGCGGTCTTATAAATCATAAACTAGTTTATTTCGTTTTTAGAAATGAAGAAGTCAATGACCGATTAAAATCTTGTTCCTTAGTACGTCCCAAAAACAGCTGACTCAGGGTTGAAACCACAATTTTTTTTCCAAATCTTTGTAATTTAATATCTCCGCAACTATTTAACCTAGACATATATTTTAATAGTACTCTCCAGGAACCTCGGGAGTGTAGGTCGTTCTGTTCCACCCAGTATATCTGTGACATTGACTGGATATATAAGTCATAATTTTTTGTGTATTACGAAAATCCTTAAGGTTATTGAAAAATATTTCATATTTTTGCTTTTGTTTCCGCTAGGACGTGCTATTGTTATTGTAAGTCAAACGTCGTATTATCCAGTCGCGTCATTTAGAAAGAAAGTCATAGTAGAAGTGACAAATAAAAAATCTATTGTGCAATAAAAAACAAAATTTCTACGCGCGGTGTCTGCAAATCAGAGTGATTCAACTAGTGCGCCATCCTAAGTTAGACGGACAATTAATGCATAGTATTTTACACTTATTATTATTGAAACACAATTAATTATACATTTAATTCGATCGTCGGCGGGCTACGTCTGCTCGAGTTTTCATTTTCACAGAGTAGTCTTTCACCATGAATCATATTAGTTGGAGCTCATTTTAGGATACCTTAGATATCTGCTCGTTTTTTAATTTACATGAGTATAAACTTTCTTTTAACAAAGAAATGAACCAAATAACATCTGGATTGCTGATAGGTAGTAACTAGCGCTACCTACTTTAAGTTTTTGAGATTAGTTGTCTTTGAAGAGGTAGAGACATACTAATATAAACACGTTTTGGCCCAATCACCTCTCTTTCATATATTATGGTTTTTAACCATAACATTTTTGTACTTTATTTCTTTTGTTCACAATTAATTTGATATTACTGTATTTGAATCATGCGCCCTCTTAATGGATGTAATGGATGGAATGTAAGTTATTTTGTATGCGGTCTCTGACGTTTAGAAAACAGAAATAATCTGGCTAATAAATAATATATATACCATATTTAGTTGTTGCTATATGAGCTGTTGTACAGAAGTAGTTTATTTATTATCTTGCTTACGTCATGTTCCTGTTAAAGTTAATAGCTTTTTTGAACTGTCACTGGTTATTTCAGACGAGGAGATCAGAAAGCGATCGTTTGTAACACAAAATGATAAAGTATGAAAGACGATAAACACTTATCAACACAATGTAAATAAAATCTTATATAATTATTAGTTACCCAATACTATTTTAAGGTCGCATAATTAATGAAACGTATGTCACAAAACTATATCCCTCTCTTGATTTATTAGCCAGTATTAAACAAAATATTATTTAGATAGATAGGAATGCTAGAAAAAGACATGTATATTTGCTTTTACGACTAGTAACTATTCATGGACTTTATTAGACCAGAGGCTTTGTTCATGTTTAAAAAATACATAAAAAATGTTACCTTAAAATCTAAAATTTAATAATTATCGACTGAGTCCGTGAATTAATGTAAAGTGTATGCATGTAAATCTTGTGATGTCTGTGGTGATTACATAAACTGATTTATTAAGTATTTGCATCTAAGCGAGTGATGAGTAATTAAGTTGTTACATTTCCTCTACTAGTCAGTAGTATAATTTTTTAGCGTTAATCAGTCGGAAATATAGTTAATTGTATTTTAAGGTATCGTAAATGTACTTCCAAGATATCTCATTATTGATCAAAGAGTGTTCAGCAAACTTTTGATAATTAATCAAGTATTTACTTATGAAATTTCTTTTATGATCAAGATTAGCTGTTGCCCTATAAAGCTTTAATTTAACTGTAAGCACCTACCTACTTATTTCGTTCATCCATTGGTAGTTAATTGTATAAAAAATCAATTTATTGAATTTATCACAGAAAAAAAATGTAAGTAAATTATATATTTTGGTATCATACATATACCTAATTCCAGTTCTTACGAATTTAAAGTGTTTGTCAAAATGAAATTTTCTTTTAAGTAGTGTATCATGTTCTTATTAAATTATATTTCAATGCCATACCATATGATACTGCAGGTAACTTTTTGTTATCGTCTAATACTTTGCTCATGTTTTAGTCGTGTAACATAATGAAGTATTCTTATATCATTATATGTGTACTGACTATCGTGTAACTATTAAAGTGTGTAAGCATTGACTCGTATTTTTTTAATTCATTTCCTCTACTTGTTTCTTATATTTTCACGCGCACTATTCATTAATTAAAAACTACTTTTAAACTATTCGTAATCGTATGTTTGAGGTTTGGAGAACGCGCAAGAGTTCACTGAAAGTGTGTGCGTATGTGTGTTGATTAATATATTGAAAATATATACATCGGCAGTGTTATTCTGTTGTAAAGACAACCTCAAGTTCGACATCGAGCACTGTACTGTTAGAGCATAGTGTCTAGTCTAGATGATCTTTACGTAGAATAAAACCTACTTGAAATATAATAAAGGTTTTATTTAATTGAATCTCTATGCTGGCAAATTAATACTTCTTTAAGTAAATACAATTCTTTGAACAGGATTAATATAAAATTTGTTGAATGTAAACCAGTTTATATATTCTTGCCTAAAAGGCTCGATGGCGCCTTGGTTAGCGCGTTCGGTCTCCGATACGGTTGTTAAGCAACTTTGGCAAGGGCCGGTCATACGATGGGTGACCAAAAATTTTTCTCTAGCTACTTTGTGCTTTTGTTATTAAATTATCAATATAAATCATGTAAACCACTAAGGTTCAACATGCACATGCAAGAACTAACGTACAGTTAACATAAACTTTCATAACTTATCTTAACATAACCAAGAACATATGTTATAACATAGTCTTTTCGCATATAGTATGCATTAACTTGTAATAAAGTCTTTCTGGCTATATCATTTGTATCTGGTTGGTTTCGGTAGCATTAAAAGGTTTAAATTTTATAGAAGGAAACTCAGAATTCAAATTAGGAAAATGTGTGATTTACATTTGTTTTTCCTACTGTCAACTCACGAGCCAAAAAGTAAGTACCGAATGCATAGAGACTTGAGTTATATATTTTTTTCAGTCGAGTACGAGTTTGACAAATTCACTCGAGTGACTCGAGTTAAAACGGCTCGAGTCGCACTACTGGTTAACACCCTCCAATCCACGCTGGGGCCATGTGGTGGGTCATGACCCATTCTCACTATTCAATTCCATCCACAGGGAATGCCTGTGCCCAGATTAATAGGTTGATGATAATGATGATACCCCGCCTCTAGCGCTGGTCAGCAAGGTCAGCTCTCCCTTGAAGATTCGCGTCCAGAAGCGTTAGAGTTTGGCAAGCGAAACGTGACACCACCTATTTTTCCGTTTTCATATGGCAACAACATAGAACTGTCAGTTTGACACTACGTTAGACAATTCAAGAATATTGAATTTTGTTGTTTTTGCGAATTTGAACTTGTGTTTTTGGTTAAAAATTATGTCGAAGCCGATAAAAAGTTCATCGAGGAAACTTCTTTCCATCATGATTGACAAGTTTACTGAAGTGAAAACTGAATTAAATAAAAATTTCATGGAGAAATTACAACGATTAGATAAAGTTGTATCTTTTTTAGGTTAGTTTTGTATTATAATTTTGATACTTTCGTTTTAATTTTCTGTAATTAACTAAACAGATATTTTTTATAAAATATTGCTCTATTTCAGATAACTGTGATGGTGATATTCAACCAATAATGGAGGAGATAAATGCAATAAAAACTTTAGAAAAACAAGAAATGCTGAATTCGGAAACGCAGTACTTACAAAAAATTTCTTCAATGACAGGTCTCTTTTCTTGTTTTGATTTAAGATAGATTGATAGTATTCCTATAATATTTACATAGGTTTTTTATGATGTATTGGTTTTTATTGTTGACATCCAATGATGTCATAAGAATGTTTTGTTTAACAAGGAAATTCACAGAATTCATGAAACTAATCAAACCATGTAATTGTTATACATGCTAAATATGCACATAAACTTAACTAAATTAAACATAAATTGCATTCATAGTTGAATAGGTATTTAAATTATTTTGATGTATGTGTCTATCATTATTTGCTTTTAAATACATTTAACATATCTTTGTTTCAAAGTGTTTAATCTTTTATAGATGTAAGTATAAGGACACTAAGAAGGATAAAAAATGAAGCATTAATTAATAAAGGAAAATGGGACACTCCTGGGAAAAAACGACCTCATCAACCAACAGTGTCTGCTTTAGATAATTTTGATTTAAGTGCAATTCGGAATAAAGTAAATGAATTTTACTGTGTGAAAAAAATTGTTCCAACATTAAGAAGCCTTCACAATGAATTAAAAGATGCAATAGGATTCAGTGGTAGCCGTGAGACTTTACGAAAAATTATGCTTAAGAATGGATTTTCTTTTAAAAGCAATGAAAATGAACGTTCTATGCTTATAGAAAAATACCAGATTTCTGCATGGAGGCACAAGTATTTGAGAGAAATAAATATAAAACGAAACGAAGGAAAGCAAATTGTGTACCTTGATGAAACTTATGTACATCAGAATTATAAAGTTAAAAAGTCTTGGCAAGGACCTTCAACAACTGGTGTCACTACAAAGATATCCTCTGGAAAACGGCATATTGTTGTGCATGCTGGATCTGAGGAAGGTTTTGTGCCTGGTGCATTATTAGTGTTCAGTAGTAAATCCAAATCTGCTGATTATCATGATGATATGAACTCATCGAACTTTATGAAATGGGTCAGAGAAAAATTAATACCAAATTTAAGTAAGCCCAGTGTAATTGTTATGGATAATGCCAGCTACCATATAAAACAAATCAATAAACCGCCTATAATGTCTAATACCAAAGCAGATATCCGTAAATGGCTTGTAAATAATGGAATACATTTTGAGGAATATCAGACAAAGGCAGAGTTAATGTGTTTGGTTAATGATAAGAAAACATTGCCTGTATATGAAGCTGAAGAGATTTTAAAAGAACATAATCATGAACTTTTATTGCTGCCACCGTATCATTGTGACTTAAACCCAATAGAGATGGTTTGGAGTCAAGCAAAAAGAAAAATTGCAAGCAGAAACATTGGAATACCAGGAAAGGAAATGGAAAACTTAATAATAGAGTGTTTTAACTTAATTACCCCTAGTGACTGGAAGAAATACACTGATCATGTTTTAAATGTCGAAAATGATTACAAATTAAAAGATGGCATTGTTGAAAACGAACTTGAAAAATTTATTATATCTGTTGGTGCAGACAGTAGTGAAGAGAGTGACTCTGATGATTCCTTGTCATTGTTATCAGGTGTAGAATATTTAGAAACAGATTTTGACTATGAATCAGACTAAAGTATTTTTAGTCTGATTCATAGTCAAAATCTTATCTTAAATTTTCTATTGTGATTAACATGATGATTTTGTGACACCTGTATTATGTAATTTATCCATGGCACTTAATTGTAACAAAAATAAATGTTTTTTTTATTGTAATCTGGTGTTTATATTGACTAATTTAATTTGATAGATAGTGGTTCTGGATCAGAGCAAAAGGTTGTGATGAAAATCCCTTAGGAGACATGTATGTGTTATGAACACATTATAAATATAAGGGCCAGAAATCAAAATTGGCTAACATCACATTTATTAAAAAAATGTGGCCAGAGTCGCCCATATTCATTACAAAAAAACAAAGAAGTCGTTGCAAAAAACACCCTTTTAATTAATGACAAATATGAATTTTTAATATTATAAGTGCTGTTAGCCAATAGGTATAACGAATGGGTTAAAAAAAAGATTCGATTTAGTCCGTCAGTCAGATAATAGAAAAATATTGGATACGTATTTTTTTTCGCTTTAATTTAACAACAAATGGCTTAAGAGGTACTATGCGACGACTTCAAATATGCTTTGCAACAATGTTACTTTAATACAGTTTATCGATACGAAATCAAGTGTCAAAATGGAGTCCAGTGGAGAATGCCGATATTGACATTTCGAAATTGCTCATCATTGATAGAGAATACGAAATAGTGATTTTGACACAATCAAAGTGTCTATTTTTTACGGTGATGACGATTCTTGGTTGTCAGTTGAGTTAGTGAATAGGCCTACTGATATGCTGTTAACTGTACAATTAAGAACAGTCACGCTTTAGTCAAATGTTCCAAAACAAATAATTTTAATTGATATCTAAATGTTAAGATTAAATATAATTAATAAAAGTATCAAAATTATTTTGCAGTACTACATTCAGTGTTTACTGCTTAAGAATTTTTGAAATTGCCGCCCTTTTCTTGTGACACGTTTCGCTTGCCAGACCTTAGCCACCCTGTGTAGCCACCAGTCACAAAGTGTAAAAATGCAAAGGCGTACCCACTTATCCCTCCGATGTCCCTCTCTATTGTAAGCGATGTGCGGAAGCAGCCTAAAGACGTTTTTTAAATTGTTCCTGTTCGTATAATAGATAAAAACTATATCACACACATAATAATAACAATTTACAGATAATTATAAGGTAAATAGTCTTTGTAGAATACCTGGATGTCGGATGTCTAAGAAGCAAACAAATTATGTAGGCTATGCCTTATGACTGTGACTTCTCTCTCTCTCTCTCTCTCTCTCTCTCTCTCTCTGTAGTCGGTCCCTCATTACTGAGGATCGTGGTCACTGGAACTCATCAAACGACCAATGTTCCATCGATTCCGGTCGGAAGCAGCCCTCATCATCTGGCAGAACTCTGGTAGGGCTGTAGCTCCTTTCACCTGGTCAGACCATCGTGTTTTAGGTATACCTATTTTTGAAATTTGTAACTCAACGGGAATAGTGCCTGGAGCTGCTATTAATTCTAAGATAAATTTGAATAATAATACTCAGTTTAAATAAAATTAAGTACAATTTGAAATTATCCTAAATTCCGATAACTTAAAGTAGATCTTCGTCAGTCTACGGACTACGAGGATTAGTAATGAGACCGCGCTAGAAAGTTTCAGGATAGTACCTTAGGGTTATTTCATGCTAGCGCACGAGACGAAGCTAGCGCGAATACATTTGCATATTCTTACTTTCAATAGCTGTCTAGTGATGGGATTAGCAAGTGGTAGTAGGATTTCCGTAGTTATTTCTTATAGGTACGTATACTTACAATAATTA